AGCGCAGATAGCCCTCGTGTAGCTTTGCGCGAAATTCCAAACGAATAATTTATTTTTGTCTAATATTCTCGTTTCACCAGACCACACATTAAACCTGCTATCTTAGTGTAATCTATAGACATGTAAACAGGCAACTGTCTTCTTATTTTTCAACATGCAAAGCACACTAATCACCCAAAACAACAACAAAGTTCGGCATTTTAACGAACTTAATCAAACCCTTTCCAAAATCAACCCCAAAGTGCTTTAATTAACCACACAAACCTAACATTACTCACTAATTTTCTCTCTCTCATGATGACCTTTACCTCAACTTCTCTGGTATCTTTACCTAAACTTGCAATATTCTCCCAAGCAGTTCTTCAACTTTTCTTTATCTAAACTCAACACCCCCTCCCAACTCGACTGCTACCAACGTTTCAACGCTCTAGTACCTCTACTACTCAATCATCTCCTCCACCTTCTCACAGCAATCTTCCGTGCTTCTTTTAATTTTGCTAATGAACCCAACCCGTAGCACACTTTCCCACCAATATCTAGTTTCACAAATAACAACATTCATTATTCTTATGCCTCTGCTGTCCATTCTTCCCTACTCACAGCATCTTAATCTTTCGCTTCTCTATCCAAAACCCCGTCATTATAATTGTAATTATGCATGCACCAACGACAATCATCGCCAGCTAACGTGTCCTCACCTCTCCTGCACAACTTCTTTCATCAAAACAACTACAATCCTCGCCAGCTAACGTGTCCTCACCTCTCCTGCACAACTTCTTTCATCAAAACAACTACAATCCTCGCCAGCTAACGTGTCCTCACTTCTCATGCACAACTTCTTTCATCAAAACAACTACAATCCTCGCCAGCTAACGTGTCCTCACCTCTCCTGCACAACTTCTTTCATCAAAACAACTACAATCCTCGCCAGCTAACGTGTCCTCACCTCTCCTGCACAACTTCTTTCACCAAAACAACTACAATCCTCGCCAGCTAACGTGTCCTCGCTTCTCCTGTAATACTTCCATCATCAATGACAACCACAATCCTCGCCAGCTAACGTGTCCTCGCTTCTTCTGTAATACTTCCATTATCAATGACAACCACAATCCTCGCCAGCTAACGTGTCCTCGCCTCTCTTGTACAACTTCCTTCATCAATAACTATAATCCTCGCCAGCTAACGTGTCCTCGCCTCT